TGTTTTCTTAAGTTTTCGCGGGTACTTACATGTATGGTGTTCGGCTTGGTTCGGGTATTTTCCCACGTCATTGTAGTTCTTTTAAAGTTGTAGCAACGTTTCAGCAGAATCTCAGGTTCTCGCGGGTATTTGTATGTGGATCTTTGGTTATTCGGGTTTTCTCCCACATAAGATTGGAAATATCTAGGCAACGTATTCGTCTGTATCTAGGTACTCGTCTGTATCTAGGTACTCATCTGTTCGTGAGGGCGGGTTTCCAAATGGCTGGTAGGCAGGAGGTGTCATCTCGTTTATTCATGCTGTCTGGGTGTTTTTTTTATCTCTATAGCTTCTCTGATTATTCTGTTGTTGAAGTGTTCGGTTTTGGCGATAGTTCTGGTATTTTTAAAGTCAATCTCATGTCCTGTGGCTTTGAGGTGTTGGACCAGGGAAGAGGTCGGTTCTTCTTTTTTGATTGAGTTCTTATGTTCTTCAATGCGTGCACTTATTCTTCTGTTAGTTTGTCCGATGTATGTGGTGGGACAGGCGGTGCAAGGGATTTTGTATACTCCTTGATTTTCTAACTCGATTTTGTCTTTAGGGTTTCTTAGGATGGTGGATATTTTTCTGTTTGTGCAGAATGCTGTTTTAATGTTGTGTTTTTGGAGGATCTTGCTGATTTTGTCTGTAGTGCCTTTTATATATGGGAGGAGGGCTTTGCCGTTCTCTTGTTCTCTGTCTTGGATTTTGGTTGGGGTTTCTTTTTGGATTAGGTGGGTAATCTTCTTTCTTTGGAATCCATTGGCTGTTAGTACGTTAGTGAGAGTGTGTAGTTCGGTTTTTAGGTGTTGTTCGTCGGCTAAGCATTTTGTTCTGGAGATGAGTGTCTCAGCTACGGAATTAATCTGTGCTGGGTGGTGGTGTGAGAGTGTGTGTAGATAGCGGTTTGTATGTGTTTTCTTCTGGGAGATAGTGTGTCCTAGAGAGCCATTGGATTTTTTGTATACCAAGACATCTAGGAAGGGAAGTTGATTGTTAGCTTCAATCTGAAGCCTGATGGTGGCAGATGAGATTCTGCCGAAACGTTGCTACAACTTTCAAAGCACAACTACAATGACGTGGCAAAATACCCGAACAAAGCTGAATACCATATACCCGAATAACCAAAGATCCATATATATATATCTTTGGTTATTCGGGTTTTCTCCCGCGTAAGATTGGAAGTATCTAGGCAACGTTTCGATGAAGTCTCATTCATCATCTTCAGGCTTCTGTCTTCAGCTCTGTGCTTCTCAGAGTGATGTGAGCTTGCAGCTGCTTCTTCCTTTTAACTGCTAGTGGGGGTGTGACTTGATTGGGTGGGGGCTTGGCTGTGTTCTGATTGGGTGGGATTGTGTTTTCATTGGTCGGGGGTTTGGCTGTGTTCTGATTGCTTGGGGGGTTGGCCGTGTTCTGATTGGCTGGAGATGTGTTCTGTTCAGGTGGGGGCTTGGCTGTGCTAAGGTTAGTCTTAGTTGCTGGGGGATTTGAGCTGGTGAGCTGTGATCTTGCTGTTTGGCTTCGAGTTTGTGGTCGTGCCGCATCTTCATGGTGGGGGTCAGTTCGCTTCGTGTATGGCTCGGAGGGTTTTGAAGTGGGTAGTGATGCAGCTGCAGTGCGGCTTCTGGTCCGTGGTCGTGTCTCATCTTCTGTGTGCGTGTGAGTCTGCTTTCTACATGGAAGTGTGGTGGTGGCATCTTGTGTGGCCCTCGTGGGTGTGGGTCTGGTGTCATTCTTCATGTTAGGTACTCGTCTGTTCATGAGTTCATCAATTGGCTGTTAGTAAGTTAGTGAGAGTGTGTAGCTTGGTTTTTAGGTGTTGTTCATCGGCTAAGCCTCTGAGAAGCACAGAGCCGAAGACACAAGCCTGAAGATGATGAATGAGACTTCATCGAAACGTTGCCTAGATACTTCCAACCTTATGCGGGAGAAAACCCGAATAACCATAGATCCACATTATATATATATATATAATTTGTTTTCGTAGATTTTCACAGGTACAGGTATGCAATTCTTGCCATGTTCAGGTCTTTTCCTGTGTAAGATTGAGAGTATCTTGGCAATGTTTCAACGAGGTCCCAGTTGCCATCTTTAGGCTGGTGCTTTCGGCTTTGTGCTTGTGCGAGCAAAGCATGATTGGAGCTCCCGTCTCCCTGTATATATTGGTGGAGAGGTTGGCTGTGTTGTCATTTCTTGATTGGTTGATGGAGTTGATGTTGGCAGATTGGCTTTTTTGTAAGAACATGTGTAGCTGAGGTATTGGCTGTATGTCTATCAGCCTCCTGTATTGTAACGACCTGGGTAATGGGCTGTGTGATGACCTTCTGAGTTC